AAAAACCACATATAGCTAAGGCAGTTCTTAGTAATAAAAACAAATCCTGGGGCATCAGCATACCAGACTTTAGGCTGTACGACATGGCCATAGTGGTCATGACAGCATGGTACTGGCACAAAATAGAGACACAGACATTCTGAGTCAAATAGAAAACTAGGAAATGAAATTAAAATTTTACAGTCACCTGATATTTGATAAACCAAACAAGAACATATACTGGGGAGAAGACTACCTATTCAATAAATGATGTTAGGAAAACTGGATAACCACACGTAAGACTTAAACTGGACCCACACCTCTTACCACTTACAAAAATTGACTCAAAGTGGAGGAAAGATCAAAGTGTAAGGCATCAAAGCATAAAAGTCCTTGAAGAAAGTGTTGGGAAAACACTTGATGATACTGGACCGGGGAAAGATTTTATGAAGACTTCTGTGGCAAATGCAACAACAACAAAAAAGAAAACAAAAACCAAATGGGACTTAATTAAATTAAACAACATCTCTACAACTAAGGAAACAATAACCAAATCAAGTAGATAACTTTCAGAATGGGAACAAACATTTGCATGTTATGAACCAGACAAAAGCTTAATAACTAGCATCTACAGAGAACTCAAATTCATCAACATGAAAAGACCCAACAATCCCATATATCACTGGGCAAGAGACATGAATAGAAATTTCTCTAAAGAAGACCGATGAATGGCTAAGAAACGTATGAAAAAATACTCATTATCCTTAATCATCAGAGAAATGCAAATCAAAACTACCCTGAGATATCTCTAAACCCCAGTGAGAATGGCCCACATCCCAAAGTCTCAAAGTAGCAGATGCTGGCATGGATGGGATGTGGAGAGAAGGGAATACTTTGACATTGCTGGTGGAACTGTAATACAACCTTTTTGGAAGGAAGTATGGAGAGTCCTCAAAGAACTCAAATTAGACCTCCCATTTGATCCTGTAATCCCATTACTAGGCATCTACTTATTAAAAAGAAAACACATCCTTTTATGATAAGGCAGCAGTTCTCAACCTGTGGGTCGTGACCCCTTTGTAACAATGAAAATAAATTGTGGCATTAGGAAGGTTGAGAACCACTGCCATAAGGAAGTTTGCACTAGACGGTTTATTGCAGTTCAATTTGCAATTGCCAAAATGTGTAAACAGTCTAAATGCCCACCATCCCAGGAATGGATTAAAAAGCTGTGGTATACATATAGCATGGAATACTATTCAGCCCTTAAAAAGATGGAGACTTTGCATCATTTGATGGAGGTGGAACACATTCTTCTTTGGTGAAGCATCACAAGAAGGGAGAAACAAGAAACCAATGTACACAATTCTAATATGAAGGCAGTAGAGGAACTAATACAAGGGGTATGGTAAGGGATGAGGGAGCAGGGAGAGGGGAGCAGAAGGGGGATGGGGTCACAGTGTATGGCACACCTCTTAACAAATGCAATCAGTGTAATCTAATTCTTTGTACCCTCAATAAATCGCAAATGGTAAAATATATTTAAAAAAATCAAACATGTACCAGAGTATTACAATGATAAACAATTCAAATTTATTATTTTCATATTTAAGAGGGCAGAACTGAGAATTTTATTTAGGACAATGAAATAGATTAAAAAACCCAAAGCAAGCTTATAACACTAATGGCTAAAATTCACTAGGAACATGTCAGTTATTAATATTTACGTACCCAGTAATGCAGGAAAAATATAGTTTTGTAGAGCAAAAATGACAGAACGAGAATTATGAAAAATCATAGTACTACTCAGGCTGTTAAATTTTGTGCCCAAAGGCAAGAACAAATTAAAATTCTGGAATTACATGAGAATAATGATAATTAAAACAGAATATATCAGAATAGACTACTACAGCAGTGATTAGAAAATATTGGAGGCATCTTAAATATTACTTACGCCACTAAAAATAAAAATAAATGACTTGAACGTTAAATTCAGAAAGCCACGACATAATCTAAAAGTATGAAGGCAAAACTACTAATTAGAGGTAGAACTCAGAACCACTGTCATAAGGAGGAACCACAGCCATAGAGGTGGAAGTTGAAATAAATGGGTTAGAAAACAAAACTACAGTGAAATTTTACTTAGGAGGATGTTCTCCGGATCCTTCCAGTAAATATAAATAAGTAAAGTCTCCATCTCTCCTTATGGGTGAATGTAGGGTATACGGCACACTTCCCGGGTGAAGGGTTCAACTACAACTTGCACTTTACCTAACAAATGGAAATAGTGTAACTAACCTGATGTTACATATCCCTCTCACATTAACCTGAATTAAAAAAAAAAAAAAACGACAGTGAAACTCATATATAAGAGGAATGGCAGGTTTACTTGGGTGGCTATCAGGAACGTGAAAAGTCACTGGATAAATTAATCAAAAGAGGAGAAAGACAAATGCTCGAAATTTAAAATGACAAGGGTCACATAGTCTTCAATACAAAGTTTCAAGTCTCCTAAGTGCAAAGTTCACAGCGTTCTATTCAAATACATCGGAACACAGATGCAATGGATACTTTTCTAGTGAAATACAATTTACCCACGTTGGCCCCAGGAGAGGCAAAAAGTAACGAGACAATCACATACAACACATGCTGAACTTGGATAAAGACTTCTATAAAACAGCAGCCAGGAGCCCGGCACGTGGGCCCCCCTCCTCGGGGCCTTGGCCTCGCGCGTGGTACTTAGAGGGAGCGTGACGGGCTTGAGGAGGCGCCAGACACGCCAAACTGCTGTGCCCGCGACGCTGACGCGTTTGGGGGAAGCCCGGCCACTGAGGGGAACGCTCTCCAGCAGCGGCGGCGACCCAGAGTGTCTGTCCGGTCTGGGCGCCAAGGCGGTGGTGCTGCCCCGAGAACTGAGCGCATTCGAGCCAGGACCGGGTTCCAGGAGCCCTCTCGGCCCACAGAGATGAGCCATCAGCCTGACAGGGCACAGCCGGCTGGTCCCTCACAGGATCCACCACCCGAGGGGGAGCCAGGCCTGCCTGACGCGACTCCATCCAGCAGTTACTTGAGGAGCCTTTTCGAGTGTCCGGTATGCTTTGAGTATGTGTTACCCCCCATCCTTCAGTGTCAGCGTGGTCATCTTGTTTGTATCAGCTGTCGCCGAAAGCTGATTTCTTGTCCAACTTGCCGGGGCCCACTGGGGTTCATTCGGAACTTGGCTATGGAGAAACTGGCCAATTCCCTTCCGTTTCCGTGTAAATACGCCTCTTCTGGGTGTGGAACAAGTCTGCCGCCAGTGCAGAAAGCACGCCACGAAGGGCTCTGTGACTTTAGGCCTTATTTCTGTCCGTGCCCTGGTGTTCTCTGTCCATGGGAAGGCTCTGTGGACGCTGTGATGCCCCATCTGATGGATCAGCATGACGATCGCATTACAGCCCTACAGGGAGAGACTGCCACTTTCCTTGCTATGGACATTAATAACGTGCCTGGTACTCTTTACTGGGTGATGATGCAGTCCTGTTTTGACCTGCACTTCATGGTGGTCTTGCAGAGACAGGAAAACCACCACGGTCAAGAGCGGTTCTGCGCAATGGTACGGCTGCTAGGAACACCCCAGCAAGTGGAAAATTTTACTTATCGACTTGAGATGAAACGTGGTCGACGACAACTGACTTGGGAAGCACCTCCTCGGTCTATTCGGGAGAGCATTGAGACAGCCACGATGAGCAGTGACTGCCTTGTCTTTGACACCAACACTGCACAGCTTTTTGCAGAAAATGGTGATTTAAGCATTGCTGTAACTATTGCCGAGTGTTGAAATGACAATAAGACTTTTTCTGGACAGTATTTAGAACTATGACATTTAACTTCATAGAAAATAAGGTACCCCTCTGCCTGCCAACCTGAAAGTCTTTTGGCTGGTGGATGGTAGCATAAGTCAACAGTAATCCACTGAAAATATGTATTTGTACACCCAAGGTGGGCATCTTTGTTATTAAAAAAGGAAGATTGTAAAATAATTCTGAGTTTTGTGCTTGTTATAGATTGATTATATGCTGAAAAATACTGGGTTTGATGTTTGTATGCAAGTGATTGTGTGTATGTTTGTTTGCGAACGTGTGTGAGTGCATGTGTGTGGGGGGGTTATTTTCTCTTGAACTAACAAGCCATCTTGAGTGGTCTTGGACCACTGCTTTTCCCCTCTGGGAGTCATTACATAGTGCTCTGTGTGTGTGTGTGTGTGTGTGTGTTTGTATTTACTAATTTTTTTTTCTTGCAGTTTTTGTCCAGGCGGGTTTGAACCCGTCACGTCTGGTATATGGGGCCAGTGCCCTTACTCCTTGAGCCACAGGTGCTGCCCTAGTATTTGCTAATTTTTACTCTCGTTTTTGATTAAATGCATTTGAGTTTCTTTCCTGTAATTCAGGTTTTTCTCACTTTTGGGGGGTACCATTTTAAAGTTAGCATTTTTGATAGGCATAATTGTTTATGGTAAAGTTTATCCTGTGTTAGATACATATTTTCTCCACTCCCCATTAATCAGTTCATTAGAAATATTTTAAATTCAGCTATTTTGTGAAGTTCCAGAAGGGAAAGGTGACATTAGAAAAATGACCGAAAGCTCTTTAAAGCAGCACTAAGATGGTCTCTCTCTTTCTCTTTTTCTCACTTGGTCTGTTCTACAATTGAGTCATACCTTCAAACTTCATCATTATCAGGGTAGGAAATAAATGGATTTCTGAAATATTGAAAACAAATCGGCTCGGTGCCTGTAGCTCAACCGGCTAAGGCGCCAGCCACATACACCTAAGGTGGCAGGTTCGAATCCCCAGCCCGGACCCACCAAAACAACAATGACGGCTGCAACCAAAAAATAGCCGGGCGTTGTGGCGGGCGCCTGTGGTCCCAGCTACTTGGGAGGCTGAGGCAGGAGACTCGCTTGAGCCCAGGAGTTGGAGGTTGCTGTGAGCTATAATGCCACAGCACTCTACCCAGGGGGACAGCTTGAGGCCCTGTCTCAACAAAACAACAAAAAAAAGAAAACAAATCAGGCATTTTTTCTCTTCTTTTCAAATACCTTGGACAAATCACATCTAAAATTTGTCCTCATATTTATCCGGGCGGGGCCACAGCCTCAGCCAGAGTGTGGGAGGGCTGGCGTTTGCTGAAAGTGGTGCTGCTGCTGGTGCTCCTGAGAACCCCAATTCGTCCGCAACCCCCCTCCCTCCTTTCCCCTCCTCCCCACAGACTCTGAGGAGAGCGCAGAGCAGAGAAGGAGGGAGGGCAGGAACCTAAAAGGTGGGGGGTGGGGGGAGAGGGAGGGAAATAGCAATGTGGGTGGGGGGATGGTAATGGAGAAAGAAGGCCTCTCTCCTTAATTTTTGAAGAATAGCTTTGTTGAATGAAGTATTCTTGAATGACAGTTTTTTCATCTATTAAAAAGTGTCCCTACATGCTAATCTAGCTTGTGTAACTTCTAATGAGAAGTCGTATGCCAAGTGAATATAATTCCTTTATATGTTGTTTGCTTCTTTTCTCCTGCTACTTGTAGGATCCTCTCTTTGTCCTTGACCTTTGATAGTTTGATTATTATATGTCTTGCAGTAAGGGTAATCTTACTTGGGTTGAATCTGTTTGGTGTTTTCCAGCCTTCTGTGTCTGGATAGTTATACCTTTTGCAATTTTGGAACGTTTTCTGTTATTTATTTGAATAAGCTTTCTACCTCTTGCCCGTGCACAGCTCGCTCTTGCACATTTAGAATTCTTAGATTTGGTCTTTGGAAGTTTTTTTTTTTCTATATCTTATAGGCAATCTTCATTCCTTTTCATTCTTTTATTTTTCTTCTATGACTGTGTACTATCAAATCACCTGTTTTAGAGATCACTTTTTCTATCTTCTGCTTGAACATTTTGCTGTTGAGATCCTCTGATGAAATTTTCAGTTCACCAAATACATTTTTCAGCTGCAGGATTTCTGTTTCTTTTTAAAAAGTTTTAATCTCTTTGTTACATTTATTTCTTTTTTAAAATTCTTTATTAAATCATAGCTGTGTACATTAATGCATTTATGGGGTACAATGTGCTGATTGAGATACAATGTGGAATGCTTACATCTAACTGATTAACATAACAATATCCTTGCTTACTTATTTGTTGTGGCAAAACCATTCATACTCTATGCTTAATAGTAATGTATCATTGCATTATGCACATTAGGTTGGATGAATTTATGAATTGCATTTTTGTGTTAACCTGGAGATCACTGAGTTCAAACTGTTATTTTGAATTCTTGATCAGGGAACTTACATATTGCCAGCTCATTAGAGTCAGTTAGTGGTTCCGTTGCCCATTTGTAGAGGTCATGATTCTCTGCTGTAGTTTCTTATGGATGTATATCTGTGTCTTTGCACTGAAGTAAAATTTATTCTAGTCTTCTATGTCTGACTTGTATTGTTTATTATGGAGTACATTTACTTAAAGATTATTTATTGTTATGTGCCATCCTCCTATTTGGCTCTAGGTGATACCTTAAGCCCAGGTTCACTTTGGCTCTAGTAACTGATTAGAGTAATGCCAGTCTCAAGAGGGGCACGTCCCAAGTAGGATATCCTCGTAGTGTGGGAAGTCTGGCTAGAGGTTCTAGACTCAAAGTATGTACCTCCTACAGTGTGGTGCTACTGAACAGTCTGATTTGGTATCTCTTTAGCTGAGTTACAGAGCAGATTTCCAGGTCTGGAGATCGTTTGTCTCTTCCTGTTCTCGGGTATCTTTCTCCCTACAGATACTGTTGATGCTTCTCATAGATTAAGGGAGGCATAGATCTCCTGCCACAGAACCTAAGATAATGGGAAAGTAGGTTGTCCACTTGAATCTCACATTTTCCAACATAGAAAGTTTCTGCATACTTGATGCCAGGCAGAATGAGAGGAGGCAGAAACATGGATGTGAAGTATAGTTCTCTTACCATCTTTCCTGAGTCCCCCCCACTTCTCTGTGGCCTTTGAAATTGTTTCATCCTCATATTTAAGTTCTGGGATATTGTTGATGATAATCTTAGTGTTGTACATTTGTTTTTGGTTTTCTGTGCTTAGGAGGTGGGGAATGAAGCCAGATTGCTTCTATCCAACTGTTTTGGAATCGGAAGTCTGGAGCAAATATTTCTTTAAGAAATTACTTTATTTTACTAGATAGTTAGATTTGATAGGTTATGAATTAAAATGTGGTGGTCTCTTTTATAATATTCATAATGATAATAACTCATATTATTGGGAATTTACTATGTGCTGAATATTTTTCTAATTGGTTTCTATGAATTAACTGACATAATTTGAGTAAGTGCTACTATTATTCCCATGTTACACATGGTAAAATGGAGATATAAAAAGGTTCATTAACTTGACCAAGATCCTTTAGCTGATAAAAAAAAAAAAGTAGGATTTAAATTAAAGTAGCCTGACTCTGGTGATGCCTTGCATCAGAATCACTACTGTGATCCCTTTATGCTTTGGGTGTTCATGTTGGAAATCCCTTTTATAACGTATAATTTTTCATATAGAGGGTGTCTGTTGGGTTTTTGCAGCTCTAGGTACATTGAGAACTATGACACCATTCAAATATTATAAGGTTTCCAACTGACAGAGAAACTCTAGTTTTGTGTAATTCTAACCTCAGAGGTAGGACGACAGCAATAAAAAGAATTATGGCATTTGTTAAATTTCTATATATTAGTAAGCAACTCCAGTAGCCTGTATTTTCCTTATAATTCTATTGTAGTGTTTGTGTAATTATGCCTTGTGCTGTGGTTTCATGTGCCACATTAATTTTTTTTTCATACTGGATTGCATGGGAGGAGAGGTGATGGTCTGTAGCACATTAATTTCTGTTGTATAGAATCTAGCATAGTATACTGTAATTCCCAAAATGATATAAAAACAGGATCTTATATCCTTACTTTTCCATAAGATGCTTTCATAGAACCTGTAGCTTCAATAGATAAAGAAAAACCTTGGTATTAATTTGGCAAATGACCATTTATTTATAAAGAGTTGGCCTCTGAGCTGTGGCAAAGCCTGTGGGGGATCTGTTCAGGCTGCTCTCAAAAGACAATTGAATATGTACATTTAATAGCTCTTTTGTTTAAGAAATCTCATAAGAGTCTAGGTTATTTTTCTCAGTTTGTATTACTATCTTATGTTCTTCTTGATGGCTAAAAAATCATGTATCAGCTAAAAGTTATACGTCAAACCAGTGAATCAGAGAAACTACATTTTTTTTACCAGTATTCTAAATGAAAAAAAGACATTTTATTTTAGTATTTAATATGTTACAAGGGGAATTCAGAAAAAGTGAGTATCCATAAAGATATAACATGGCTATGTCAATTTTTTCAAACTTATTCTTCTGCCATTGCTCATTTTAATTAACAATCGAAGAAAATACTAAAATATATTAGATCATCAGTTGGGAACGGCTTTTCATTCTGAAGTGCAGGCATATCTACTGAAGAATCTTGGATGTGACAATGCAATCAGAACTTTAGAAAAGCATAGCCAAATGAAATTTATATCGGTACTCCGAGAAAATTGATTGTGATATTCATATCATTTTTCTCTACATTCATTTCTCAGTCCATGCATATAAAAATGTTACTTTCTAAATCATGGACTATAGACATCATAGATCATATGAAATTGTTCATACATTTAAGAGTTTAGAATCTTAGGGGGAAAACATGTTCTACATTGTGATCCATCTTAAATAAAAATATCCATATAAAGCGAATTGATGTCCCCTGTGCTTCCACTAGTCAGAGATCAG